GGTTGAACCAAAAATGGGAAAAAGAAGAGGGCAAAGTGAATGTGGAGCGGGGCATGGTTGTGCATGCCTGTAATCTCAGCACTCAGAAGGCTGAGGCAGAAGGATCGTTGCAAGTTCGAGACCAGCCTAGGGTACAAAGTGAGCTCAAGGAAAGCCTGAAATCCTGCCCACCTACTTTACCCTTGTTTGAAAAGGTCAAAGATCTGGTCTGGCATGGTGGCACTTGCCTGTAATCTCAGCACTGGGGAGGCTGAGGCAAGAGGATTACTGTGAGTTTGGGCCCAGCCTTGTTTCAAAAGAAAGAAGAAGAAAAGGGCAGAAGGCAGAGGATGACCTCTGCATAGTGAGACCATCTCAAAAAGGAAAAAAAAAGTGAATGTGAAATGGTAGAGAACTTTTTGCCCTATGCTGGGTGTGGTGGTGCACACCTGTGATCCTAGCACTTAGGAGGCTGAGGCAGGACTGCCACGAGTTCAAGGCCAGTCTGGGCTATGTATAGTGAGTTCAAGGCCAGTATGAACTATGTAGAAGACCCTGTCTCAAAAAAAAAGGGGCCATTTGTCCCTGTACATGGGTTTGGAGAAAAGGAGAGGCAGGTCTGGCCTTACAGTTTTCTGGAAGGGAATTGCGGAAGAGAAAACCAGTCCAGCGTCTCCTCAGCCCTGTTCGGTGATGTTCCTCTGGTGACCGCTGGGGAGCAGTAGTGTTTCTTTTTCTATCCTGGTCTGCCAGAGCTGGGAGGGGGTTGACCCAGGGGAGTGCGGTCTTGCTGGGTGCTCCGGAGGAAGCCCCCTAGTCTGCTTTATCTGGGCTCTGCAGCCAGCCCAAGCCACACCCTGGCTTCTCACCTGGGAAGCCATGTTCTCTCCACTCATTTTTGGTCCTTCCTTTGCCCTAGCCCCAGGGCTCCAAGAATTCTCCGTTTTAAGTGCCACCTGGTATCCTCTGTCTTGCTGGGTCTCAGAGCCGCCTCTCCAGCTTTCCACCTGCTTCTGCAACTTCACATCCAGCCCCCTTCGTTTCTGTCTCATAAGATCTCGATCCCCCCGCCTCGCCCGCAGTCCTAGTGCGTATGTTAGTCACCGCCTTCTGGCTGGCTCCTTGGCATCTTCCTTATCTAAGTACTGTATCTCTAATCCCCTCTGTAGTTCAGTCACTGTGATTCTGTGTTTTGTTTGCATGTTTGTGAGGCAGTAACTCCCACTGGGCTTGACAGTAGCATTTCTATCATTGCCTTCTCCACCAGAGGAATAACCAGAGACCCAGGTGCCAAGGAAGGAAGAAGGCAATTCGGAAAAAGAAAAAATCTGTCTCCGCCGTGGCCCCCTCCTCTGGCCCTCTTCACCCTTGTGAGGGAATGAAGACTTTGAGAGGGAGGAGAGGATGAAGGGGCAGCTAGGGAGCTCTGGAGACCGAGGGCCATTTGGAGCTGGCAGATCCATCTCGGGATGACTACACCCTCAGAACTCTCCGCCCTCCCTCGGCTCTAGGCCTCCCTCCTCCCATCCCCCTCAGTGGCAGCAGCCTTGTAATTTAAAGCTCTCTCTGTCGCCTCTAATGTGATCCTCTCGTTTTATTGACTCTCTCTGCCGTCTGTGGCGCCCCTTCACATCAATCTCCGCTCTAATCACACTGCCGCCACTGCCTGCTGGCTCCCTAGCCCCTCTCCGCCACAGAGGCCCCAGCCCTGGCATCTGCCCAGGTCCCTTTGATAGTGCCCTACCTCCCCTGGACAGTGGACCGCGCTCTGCCCTCGTCGCCCTCCCTCCCTTCAGAGGCAGAAACACCAAGGTCCTCTCCTTTTCTCAGACCTGCCACATGCCCCCGGGGAGGAGGGTGCCCTGGGGAAGCCGGACCTAGAGAGAGCAGAGGCAGTAGGTATGGGGGGGGACAAGTGTGTCAGCCCACAGACAAGGGATTGCTTTTAGACCCATTTGTGTGTCCTCTCCAGTTCAACATGGGAAAGGCAGAGAGACATGGGATTCAAGGAGGGAAGGAAGAGAAGATGGAGGGAATGGAAGGAGGGAAAAAAGTGAAAAAACTGCTGCAGCTAAAGATTTGTAATAAATGGTGGGTGATGGGAGAAGCCCTGAGAAGAAAGGGGGAGGGGAGTTTGTGGCTGTGGGAGGCAGGGGGAGAGGCACTGAGGCAGAGATAAATTTGCAATTGAAATTCTTTCCTGAAGGGGAGGAGGGGTAGGTTGGGACACAGGGAAGAGATTTGCAATTTTAAACAGCTGCTGAGACCTACCCTGGGCCCATCCCGGTCTCACAAGCCAGCCAAAAGCTTAACTCCTTTGGTTTCTATCCAGGCATCAAGCTATTTCTTCCAGTCCCGGGAACCAAACACTTAGGAGAGAGTATCTGAGAGTTACTGCAGAGTCTACCTAGGTCTCCCCTGAACTGTGAGGCAGAGTTGAGTTAGGAACCAGGTCAGGGCTGGCGATGGTGGCCAGGCCTGCTGAAGGTGCACCCACCCTGTGCAGCCTTCAGTGGCAAAGGCCCCGGCTCTTCCACCAGGTAAGGTGGTGGAAGGCAGTGAGGCCCACCCTGTAGGAAGGACAGGGGCACATCAGACACTCACAGGTCACTGCACTTACGCCTCCCCACCACCGAGGACCCCCAGGAGAAATACCTTCCTCCACAACTTCAGGGCTCTCAATTTCCTGTCTCTAGGAAGTTACTCCCCTTAGTTCAGCTTCTTCACTTACCTTTAGGTTTTCACACTCCCGGCCTGTCCATCCCTCCCACCCCTTTCCTAGCTACTGATTTGCATTCTCATTAGCATGCTAATCCAGCCCCTCTCAGAGCGCCTTAAAGGCTGTGACTTCATGCCTGGCTAGACCCCCTCAAGGGAAACGATGGGAGACAGAGGCCTGCCACCTAGATGGGGCCATACCAAGGACCCATTCCAAATCTAGGGGTTGGGGGCAAGGGCTAAAGGTTGCCCAAGGAAAAGGAAGTCATTCCTTTCACCCTTTCCCTGAAGTAATCTTGTTTGAATGCCAAAGTTAGACATGCTCAGATATGTAAGGGGAAAAGATGAGGGCAGGTGCTTGGGATGCTGGGAGAACTAAGGGGTAGAGGCGGGGGCAGGGGGGGTAGATTGATGAGTTTGAGGGACCCTGGTGGCAAAAAGGTTGGGAACCTTGGTGCACCTAGACAGCTGGAGGCAGCCCAGGACTCCTGATTTCTCCTTTTGAGAGGCTTATTTATCCTGTTATAGTACCTGGCCAGTACTTTCCTGGTTTCACCACCTTGGAGCCTAACAACCACCAGTAGCTCACTTACCCTGTTTCATAGCTGCCTCATCAGTAAAATAAGGTTGCTATGAGATAAATGAGAAAATTGATAAGCCCTTATATAGTGCCAGGATTATGGCGTATGTGCTTTAATAGCTATAAGTAACATTATGACTGTTTTCTTAAATCTCTTTGGGAAAGCAACATAAGAGCTGTTGTCTTTCAAGTGGCCAGGAAAACTCTTACCTATTACACGTTTCTGACCAAAGATGGGTCTGGAAGCATGCAGGAGAAGTTAGCTGTGGCCTATCTCTGGCAAGAAGACCTTGACTTGGACAGCTGACATCTTCAGGGCTTGAAAATCTGAGGTTACCTCGAAGAGTTCATTCACTGAAGACATTTACTGATTGTGGCAGGCGTCATTCTCTGTGCTGATGATAGAGCAATAGATAAAGCAGACAGCCATTCTCACAGAACTTACCTGTGAGGAGGAGGAGATAAGTAAACCAGGAAATATCTGTTGGTAAGAAATCTCTGAAAAAGTTAACTCTGAGGGCTTTGCAATTTGTTTTAAAACAGTACATGAGAGCCGTAGATATAGCTCAGTAGCACAGTGTCTGCCTAGTAAGCATGAGGTTGTGAGTTCAATTCCCAATACCAAAAAAACCCCCCAAAAAAACAGTACATGAAATTTGGAGAACTTGGTAAGGATACAGATGAAATAACACTGGTCATGAATTGATTTTTTTTTTTTTAAGCTGGATAATGGGTAGAAAGGGTTTCCTTATGTTATTTGGTGCAGTTTTTTAGTAAAAGTTTATTGGTACATTTTAGATACACATAATGACAACATTCATCACAGGGAATTTATACCTGTACGTGCTGGTGCAGTTTGCTAACATTTGGCATTTTTCTTTTTTTGTTTTTTTTTGTTTGTTTGTTTTTCTTCTGGTACCAGGAATCAAACTCACGACCTTGCGCTTGCCAGGCAGGCACTGTGCTGCTGAGCTAAATCCCCAGCCCCAAAAGTGAATTACAGATTTCTGCTCAAACCTCTGAACTGAGATTTTTTTTTTTTTGTACCAGGAATTGAACTCAGGACCTTGCACTTGCCAGGCAGGCACTTATACCACTGAGCTATATCCCCGGCCCTGGCATTTTTCATAATTGAGAATTAAGATCTTTCTGGCTGCTAGGTGGAAGGTGACCAAATTGGAGGGGTCGCAGCAGGGATGGGAGGTCCATGCAGGTCGTTAGGAAGAAATAGTAGCTTGGGCCAGATGGTACTGGTGGAGAAGATGGTGAGTGCAGGGACTGATATGGTGTAGAGTCAAATCAGATATGGTCTGATTTGTTGCTATCAAAATAGGTATGTGGGGGCTGAGGATATAGCTCAGTGGCATAAGCGCCTGCCTGGCAAGCGCAAGGTCGTGAGTTCAATCCTCGGTACCGCAAAAAAAAAAAAAAAAAAAGGGGCGGGTATGTGGGAGGACAAAAGAGAAAGTTTTGGACTTTTAGCCAAAGCAACTAGATAAATGGTATCAACTTTTGACATAACCAGTTAAGATCAAGAGGAACAGGTTCAGGGAGCAATAATGAACATGTTATTTTTGAAGCCTATTGGATACTAAGAGAAGCTTCAGATTGGCGAGTAGGTGTCTGAGTCTGATGCTCAGAGATGAGGCTGGAGCATCCAGAGATTCAGCTTGGCTGGTGTCCCTGTGGCCTCACCGTCCTGCTCTCTCCATGTTCCCTGCAGGGTACTGGCTGTCACGCTGAAATGAACCTCCAGCACTCCTCCGTCTACCATGGCCACCCTTAACTCAGCCTCCACTGCTGGCACCACCCCCTCCCCCGGGCACAATGCTCCGTCCCCACCTCCGGACACCTCCTCCTCCAACTCCCCCTCTGACCCTGTCACCAAAGATCCCCCTGCTGCCCCCTCTACCACTGAGGGCATGAGGCCCTCAGAGCTAGGGGGACAGCCTCTAGAGTCAGGCTGTGATCTCGTCCCACCAAAGGAGATCGGGGAGCCCCAAGAAGAACCTGACTGTGGTGGCTTCACACCAAAGGACCCAGGGGTAGCAAAGGACAAGGAACAGGAGCAAGAGGAAGAAGGGCTCCCTCCCGTGGACCTAAGCAACCACTTCTTCTTTTCAGCTGGCGGTGAGGCCTACCTAGCGGCCAAGCTGTGCTTGCCAGGCAGCAAAGAATTCCTGTTACCAAAGGGCTTCCCCTGGGGTGAAGCAGGCATCAAGGAAGAGCCTAGCCTGCCCCCCCTTGCCCACCCAATCCCCACACACCTCACTGTACTTCACATCCAACAAGGCTTTGACCCAATCCAAGGCTTTAGCTCTTCTGACCAAATTCTGTCCCATGATACCTCAGCGCCATCTCCGGCTGCCTGTGAGGGAAGGGATGGAGCCTTCTGGAGCTACCAGCTGGCTCCAAACCCACCCGGAGATCCCAAAGATGGTCCCACGGGGAGCACTGGGGGAGATCACAGGGCCCTCTTCTGGTTCTGCCTTCAGTGCCGTCTGGGTTTTAGCAGGCCCCAGGCCTTTATGGGGCACACACAGTCTCATGGGGTGACACTAACCCCTACCCAATACCAGGGCTTGCTAGGCAGCCCAGCTGTGCTCCAGGAAGGAGACGAGGGCTGCACAGCCCTTCTAAGCTTTCTGGAACCAAAATCCCTTGCTTGTCCCCCTCTTGAGACGCCTCTTGACAACAGCAGCACAGTGAACGTGGAGGGGAAGGCAGCCCAGACTGAGGATGGTCCTCCTGAGGCGGAAGTCCAGGCCCTTGTCCTCCCCACTGAAGAAGTCATGGCCCTCAGCCCACCCTCCCCACCCACAACTCCAGCCACCTGGGACCCCAGCCCAACCCAAGCCAAAGAATCGCCAGTAGCAGCAGGCGAGGCAGGGCCAGATTGGTTCCCTGAGGGGCAAGAGGATGGGGGGCTCTATCCCCCTCTCAACCAAAGCTCACCCACCTCTAAGGAGGGGGGCACTCTCCCTCCTCCAGGGGGCTCCCCTGAAGACCCTAGTGACCCACCCCAGCCCTACCGCCTGACTGACGACTACACTGCAGCTCCTGCAACCTTCCAGGGCCTCAGCCTGTCCAGTCACATGTCCCTGCTACACTCCCGGAATTCTTGCAAGACACTAAAGTGTCCCAAGTGCAACTGGCACTACAAATACCAGCAGACGCTGGACGTGCACATGCGGGAGAAACACCCGGAGAGCAACAGCCACTGCAGCTACTGCAGTGCCGGGGGCGCACACCCCCGCCTTGCTCGTGGAGAGAGCTACAACTGCGGCTACAAGCCCTACCGCTGCGATGTCTGCAATTACTCTACTACCACCAAAGGCAACCTCAGCATCCACATGCAGTCAGACAAACACCTGGCCAACCTTCAGGGCTTCCAGGCAGGGCCCGGGGGACAAGGAAGTCCCCCGGAAGCCTCACTCCCACCCTCTGCAGGAGACAAAGAGCCCAAGACCAAATCATCCTGGCAGTGCAAGGTGTGCAGCTATGAGACAAACATCTCCCGCAACCTGCGCATCCACATGACCTCGGAGAAGCACATGCAGAACGTCCTAATGCTGCACCAGGGGCTGCCGCTGGGCCTGCCTCCTGGTCTGGTGGGGCCAGGACCACCTCCCCCACCAGGGGCAGCCCCCACCAACCCGCCTGAACTCTTCCAGTACTTTGGACCCCAGGCCTTAGGGCAGCCTCAGACTCCCATGCCTGGCCCTGGGCTGAGGCCAGACAAACCCCTGGAAGCCCAGCTGCTTCTCAATGGTTTCCACCACCTTGGAGCACCTTCCCGCAAGTTTCCCACACCTGGTAAGCTCCCTGAACTCTATCCCCCTGCCCAGGCCAAAGTCTACTGCCCTTGCTTTCTCCCAAAGGCCAGTTCCCAACTTAGGTAACCATAATGTCCTCTGAGTACCGTCTGACTCACTAACCCACCTCTCCACGTAACTGACCCTGCCCCATCTCTTTCTTAGGCACTAATCTGGCTCTGTCCCCTAGCCCCTGGCAGCCTGTCCCCTGAGGCCCACCTGCCTCCAAGTCAGCTCCTGGGCTCCTCATCCGATGGCTTGTCCACCTCACCACCCCCAGATGACAGCCCATCCCTGAAGGTGTTCCGCTGCCTAGTGTGCCAGGCCTTCAGCACAGACAGCCTGGAGTTGCTGCTCTACCACTGCAGTGTGGGCCGGAGTCTCCCAGAAGCCGAATGGAAGGAAGTGGCAGGTGATACCCACCGCTGCAAGCTCTGCTGCTATGGCACCCAGCTCAAGGCCAACTTCCAACTCCACCTCAAGACTGACAAACATGCGCAGAAGTACCAGCTAGCAGCCCACCTGCGGGAAGGGGGCGGGGCCACAGGCACCCCCACCCCGGTCCCCCTGGGTGATGGGACCCCTTACGGGTCTGTTTCCCCCTTGCATCTGCGCTGCAACATCTGTGACTTTGAGTCCAACAGCAAGGAGAAGATGCAGCTGCATGCCCGGGGCTCAGCCCATGAAGAAAACAGCCAGATCTATAAGGTGAGGCTGGGGCAGGTAAGAGGAGAAGGGGAAGGAGATGGTGAAAGGTGCAGAGTAGGGAAGTGATGGGAAAACTCAGTGCAGCAGAAAGGAAGGAAAGAGAAGTATGCACCAGGGATAATTGGATAGACCTGGAGAATCTAGAGACCAAAAGATAGAGGAGTCTGAGAACAGGAAACAAAGACTTTATTCAGCTCTGGCATTTGGGGCTGGAGGGAGGAGCCTGTGTCAGCTCAGTCCATCATGTCACCAAAAGTTCAGAAAGATGGAAGCAGATTCCACCCACATACCAGGAGGGAGTCCTGTCCAGTGCAAGCACTGATATTCAGGTAGTTGTAAAGGGAAACGGGGCCCTGGGCGGGCCCAGTGGGAGGAGGTGTGGGAAGCAAATCCTGTCATGATCAGGAGGTGTCCCTTCGGGGCCTGAGTGTCACCTCTTCCCACGGTTCTAGTTCCTGATGGAAATGGAAGGAGCAGAGGCAGGGGCTGAGTTGGGGCTTTACCGCTGCCTACTGTGTGCCTGGGAAACACCCTCTCGCTTGGCTGTGTTGCAACACCTCCGTGCACCTGCCCACCGGGATGCTCAAGCCCAGAGGCGCCTGCAGCTGCTACAGAATGGCCCAATGGCTGAGGAAGGACTCTCAGCACTTCAGAGCATTCTAAGCTTCAGCCCTGGGCAGCTCCGAACTCCCGGTGAGGAGGAGGGGACTGGAGAATAAGGGCTGGGCAGGGGGCAGCAGGGTGCAGGGTGCTGATGAGAAAGTGACACCGGAAGGAGAAATGGGTCTCATCAACAGCAAGTAGAAGGGAATAAGACAGGGTGGGGGCTGCAGACACAAGGGCTGCCCTACAAGGAGGACATACAAGAGGCACTTGGAGAAGGGCAGAGAAGGGCAGGAAGGGAGGCAAGGGGGAATCACCCAGTGATTCTGAGCACTGACTGGTGTGCTAGCACTTCTGGATGTGGGGGACAGCAGGCTGGAGCTTGTCAAAAGGAAAGAGAAGGCAGAAAACATCAAACCTGATTTGTGCTGGGCCAGGACTTAGAAGGGAGATGTGGGCATGGTCCAAAGGCAGCAGGGATGGGGAGAGGCCCCAGCAAGCTTCCCAGCCTCTTCTGTCTCCTAGGAGGTCTTCAGCCCTAAGGCTGGGCTTAGAGTTCCCCTTAGGCAGCTGAGGCTGCACCAGCAGAGGCCGGAAACAGCCCGCCAAGTGTCATTGATCCAGAGGGTGCAGAAGAGCCTGGAAGGGGCTATCAGACAGAGGTGGGCATGGACTGCGGGCCTTGGAGGCCAGCAGTGGGCGAGGGTGAGGGCACGGGCAGCAGGAACCAGGAACAGGCAGCATTGACTGGTGCTAATTGAATTGCCAATATGCTGGCTGGAGTTAAGTGCTGGAGGGGCCCAGATCAATAGCTAACGATCCTGGCGCAGAGCTGAATGGAGTTAAGGAACTTTAACACTTTAATTAGGCTGCCACTGAAAATAAATTCCTACACATCTGTCAATTCTTGAGTGGTAATCTCCTCTCCCAGCTAGGCCTGCTGCCTCCTGCCCACCCTGCTGCCGCTTCCATTCAACTTCGGCTTCCTTCCTGAGTGCCCCCCACTACGTTTTTGGGGTTCCCTGCTTCCAGGGTCAGTCAAGGGACCCAAGTATCGTCCAGTTTCTGTTGCCTATCGTGGGGCTTATTTCTATAAGAGGACAAGGGAGCAGGATGCACACAAAATGATCTCTTAAATCCTACTAGTTCCATTACTACAATCTTTCCTTTCACCCTCTGGATGGTGATTTCATTCGGGGGCTTTTTGCCCTCTCCTGTCTGCTGATCACCCATCTGTTCTCTTCATCACTGACTGGCTGCTTGTCCTGCTTCCTCTGTCCTCCTTTCCCTGACACTTCACCTCTTAAAGCTGACTCTCCCCCCTCCTACACAGGGAAGGCTCCTGTCACCCCTCTAGCTGAGCCATCCACCCTTGAGAAAGATCCCCAGAACAAGACAGAACAGTTGGGTGAGTTGCTTCTCTGGTCCCATTTGCTTTCTTCTCTCCAAGTCGTCACACATTCTGAGATGCTCACGGGACCTTGCAGAGATCTCAGCCCCCAGCAAAACCTCCCATGCTGAAGGAACAAAACTAATCCGTGAAAGGGCTCATTAGAGGGAAGGGAGGCTGAGCCAGGGAGGCCTCGGTGCTTCTACCCTTTTTGAGGACCCAAACCTGGCCATCTTACCAACCTACAGTCAGCCCCTGCCCGGCTACTGAGTTGGGCCTCACCTTTTGCCTGTTCTCGAGAGCCCACTTTGTTGCCCTGGAAGTTCTCTGCTACAAAGCATCTGAAGGGGTGGGGGTCTGTGAACAGACAAGGGAGGCCTATCGGAGTCTCTTAATCTGCTCTCCTCTCACCCTCAGCTTCTGAAGAGGCAGAGAACAGGACTGGTCCTTCCAGAGACAGTGCCAACCAGACCACGGTCAGAACTGGGGAAACTGGGACGAGCTGGGGGCAGGGTGTTTACTGAGATCCGCTCATATTCTAGGGGCTTTAGTATGCTTGTGACATTTCATTCAGAATACCACATGTGAGAAATTATATCCAGGGCAGTTACGTATGTTCAGCATGAACAAGGCAGAGCTGGCCCAAGAGGGGAAGCATACCAGATGAGAAGAGGGGATGGTAGGAGTTGGAGGGAAAGGTAAAAGAGAGGAACTATATTAAAGTAGGAATGACTAGAGACAGATGGAAGGAGAGGAGGAAAAAGTAAAGAGATGAAAGGGGAAAGGTAAAACACAACGAACAAAAGGACCAACGGCAGAGAAACAACTATACACAGATGTTTCCATCCTCCAGAAAGCCCCGAGTCTGGACAGAACTGTCCTGGCACCCTCTTCTTGAAGATAGAAGCACCAACCAAATGATTCACCCTGAAAACACATCCTACAAACCTCTAGGCCCCCAGGATTCAGACCTAGCAGGATCTAGGAGTGGTTTGGCTTTGTGATCTGAAAATGGTGATTCCGAGGGATTCCCACCCTCTGGTCTTGAGATGCCATCCTGGGACTCACAGCATTCCAGCTGCACTACAGTGTGCAGTGGCAGCTGTATTCTCAGCGTCTCTTCTTTTTAACTCCTTCTCCTGCCATGGTGCCTGCTCTAAGGGCTAGTGGGTGCCTTAAGATGAGCGCCTGGATTCTCTCCTCCACAGCCACCCACTCCAGGTGACGGGAGAGAGAGGAAATGAGCCACAGACAAGCTTGCTCTGTAGCTCAGGCAAAATGCAGGTTGGACAGCTGCAGAAGTCAGGTGACAGCAGGCCTACCTTGGCTCCACCCCTCCTGAGATATGGGCAGGAGTGTGCTGAGGACCAGACCAGAATTTTCCAGGACCACTGGGGAAAGATGTGGCATGTGTTCAGAGTATAAAAACAGGGAAAAAAAGAAAAAGTAGGAGCAGCCGAGCCCAAGGGAGAATGAGCCAGTTTCTGAGCAGACAGTTCGGACCCCTCCATGAGAAACATTCAGGGGCCTTGAATGACAAAAGTGGGTAGAGACTCAGGGTCCAGAAAGTGCCCAAAGGAATTGGAGGCATTTCACGGAGAAGTTACAGACAGGACAGGCATGCGTAAGAAAACGAAATGTGAGACAGGCAGGTACAGGGCTACCTGTCAGCTGGAGAATTGAGTAGGTTAGCAGAGACACAGAAAAACAAATAACAAAAAAATAGAGGCTGGAATGATGAGAGAGTGCCAGAGAATGGAAGAAGGCAGTGGCCTAGGCTCAATCTTGTGTCTCAGTCCAAGGGGGACGTGAGACGCCTGAAAGCTGGGACGCCAGCTTTCAGGACTTGGGGCTGAGATGCCTTCCCATCTGGCTTGTTCCTACTGCACTGGGAGGAGGGACAGTAGTGCACTGACGAATGCAAATGACCGTGTGTTGCCCCCCCCTTCCCCTGACACCTCCACTGTCCATCTGTGCTTCCCAGGTGTACTGCTGTCCATACTGCAGTTTCCTGAGCCCAGAATCTGACCAGGTGAGGGCTCACACACTCTCCCAGCATGCAGTGCAGCCCAAATACAGGTGCCCCCTGTGCCAGGAGCAGCTGGTAGGCCGGCCTGCCCTGCACTTCCACCTCAGCCACCTGCACAACGTGGTACCCGAGTGTGTCGAGAAGCTGCTGCTTGTGGTAAGTACGAGCTGCGCGAGGATGGTCCGGTGAGGCTCAGTCGGGGCTGTGCGGTGCACATGCAGACAAGTGCATGTGTTGAGGGGGGTGATGAAGAAAGTAGCATTTCACAGACCTGAAGTGGGATTGTGGAACTGGAGGAACTCTCAGCACCAAGCCTGGCTAGCTGCATCTACTGGATGAGAAAACTCAGCATTTCTTACTTCCATTATATCTGGAGAACACAGACAAGACTGCAGCCCCAGGCCTGCCAGGGCTAGGTGGTCTTGAGGAAAGAGGACTTTGGCCTGGGGAGGGAGGGAGGCTGAGAGGAGCCCAGGCCTTCATAGTGGGGAAAGCAGTCAGTAGAGGTACCCAGAGAGGAGGCTGATCCGTGGGAAGAGGGCTCAGACACGAACAGCACAGGGGGCAGTGGGAGTGGGGTATGGTGAAGCCACTAGGGATTCTTACATTACAGGCCACAACTGTAGAGATGACCTTTCCAACCAAAGTGCTGCCTGGGCCCTCACTAAGCCCTCTGGAGGATGGCTCCGAAGCCCCCACCCCTGGGCCAGAGCCCACACCCAGCAGAGACCAGGCAGCAGGTAAGGAAGGGGACGGCATATCTTCCAAGGGGGCAGGAAAGGGTACCTGATCTCCATGGGCCACGAAAGTCTGAAGAAAATGAAGCCAGGATTTGTTGCCCCGGATTTTAAGTGGGTGGGGCCCATCTTGAGTGAAGTTCCCTGCCTATTGCACCCTCTTCTCTCTCCCGTAGAAGGCCCTAACCTGACTTCAGAAGCCAGCCCAGATCCTCCTCCTGAGCCTCCTCTGGCCCCATCTGAGGCTCCAGATAAGCCCCTGGGAAGCCCTGAGCAACCGTCTTCTCCAGCCCCATCTCCAGTCCCTCAGCCTGACACCCAAGCTGAAGAAGTAGCTCCTCCACCCACCATGACTGAAGAAGAAGATGGGTCCATGGGGGAGCCTCGCTCTGCAGAGCCAACCCCAGCTGATCCTCGCCACCCTCTGACCTATCGGAAAACCACTAACTTTGCCCTGGACAAGTTTCTTGACCCTGCCCGGCCCTACAAGTGCACTGTGTGTAAAGAGTCCTTTACCCAGAAGAACATCCTTTTGGTTCATTATAATTCTGTCTCCCACCTGCATAAGATGAAGAAGGCTGCCATTGACCCCTCAGGCCCTGCCCGAGGAGAGGCTGGTGCCCCACCAACCACTACCACTGCCGCAGACAAGCCCTTCAAGTGCACAGTCTGCCGAGTTTCCTACAACCAGAGCTCCACCCTGGAGATCCACATGCGGTCAGTTCTGCACCAGACTCGCTCAAGAGGGGCCAAGGCCGACACCAAGGCTGAGGGGCCAGAGCGTAGCCAAGAAGAGCCCAAGGAAAGCGAGACTGAGGGGGAGGCGGGCACTGAGAAGAAGGGCCCTGACCCCAGTGGCTTCATATCTGGACTGCCCTTCCTGTCCCCACCTCCTGCCCCCTTGGATCTGCACCGATTCCCAGCCCCCATCTTCACTCCACCAGTGCTGCCCCCCTTTCCTCTGGTGCCCGAATCACTGCTTAAGCTCCAGCAGCAGCAGCTGCTCCTGCCCTTCTACCTCCATGACCTCAAGGCGGGGCCCAAGCTGGCATTAGCTGGCCCTGCACCTATGCTGTCCCTGCCAGCTGTCACCCCACCTCCTCCACCTCCACCCCCTAGGGCTGAGCTGGCCGAGCAGGAATGGGAGCGGCCAGTCCTAGCTGAGGAGGGAAACGAGGCAGGGCCATCCTCACCATCCCACCCACTGCCCAATGAGGCTACCCGCACCGCAGCCAAAGCCCTTCTAGAAAACTTTGGCTTTGAGCTGGTGATTCAGTACAATGAAGGGAAGCAGGCTGTGCCCCCTCCCCCAACACCACCTCCTCCAGAGGCCCTGGGGGGTGGGGACAAGCTGGCCTGTGGGGCCTGTGGGAAACTCTTCTCCAATATGCTTATCCTCAAAACACATGAGGAGCACGTCCACCGCCGCTTTCTGCCCTTTGAGGCTCTGAGTCGTTATGCTGCCCAGTTTCGAAAGAGCTATGATAGCCTATACCCACCCCCTGTGGAGCCCCCCAAACTTCCTGATGTGTCTCTCAAGTCACCTGCCCCTCAGTTGGGCCCACCTTTCCTAGTCCCAGAGCCTGAGGCAGGGGGGACCCATGCCCCTGAAGAGCAAAGCCGGGCAGGAGGATGCTGGCCTACGGAGGAGGAAGAAAGCTCCAGAGGGAACCTTCCTCCCCTAGCACCTGCAGGCCGCAGGTTCTCCAGAACCAAATTCACAGAGTTCCAGACCCAGGCCCTGCAGTCTTTCTTTGAGACCAGTGCTTACCCCAAGGATGGAGAGGTGGAGCGGCTCTCAAGTCTGTTGGGTCTGGCCAGCCGTGTGGTAGTTGTGTGGTTCCAGAATGCCCGCCAGAAAGCACGCAAAAATGCCTGTGAAGGTGGGCCTGTGCCAACTGGAGGAAGCTCCGGGGGAGCCTCTGGCTGCAGGCGATGCCACTGCACTTTCTCCTGCGTTTTTGAGTTGGTACGGCACCTCAAGAAGTGTTATGATGATCAGACTCCTGGGGAGGAAGAGGAAGAGGCAGAGAGAAGGGAAGAGGAGGAAGAGGTGGAAGAAGATACAGAGGAGGAACGGGGCCTGGAAGCCCCAACAGGGCCTAAGGGTCCATCGCCAGAACCTGCAGAAGTGGAGGAGCTGAGCCAGGCAGAGGCAGCAATGCCAGGAAGCAAAGAGCCGGAAGGGAAGGCCCCTCCCTCGCCTTCCCCAGCCCACACCTGTGAGCAGTGTGCTGTCTCCTTCCCCAGCCAGGACCTCCTAACCAGTCACCGCCGCCTACATTTCTTGCCATCTGTGCAACCCAGCGCCCCTTCCCAGCTCCTAGATCTGCCCTTGCTGGTGTTTGGGGAGAGAAATCCTCTGGTGGCAGGCACCTCACCAGTGCCAGGACCACCCCTCAAAAGGAAGCATGAGGATGGCAGCCTGTCCCCCACAGGCAGTGAAGCGGGGTGTGGAGCAGATGGGGAGCCCCCCAGGGACAAGCGCCTGCGCACCACCATCCTGCCTGAGCAGCTGGAGATCCTGTACCGCTGGTACATGCAGGACTCCAACCCAACACGCAAGATGCTCGACTGCATCTCTGAGGAGGTGGGGCTCAAAAAGCGAGTGGTGCAGGTCTGGTTCCAGAATACCAGGGCCAGGGAGCGGAAAGGCCAGTTTCGAAGCACTCCTGGGGGGCTGCCCAGCCCTGCAGTCAAACCTCCTGTCGCATCTACCCCTGCACCCTTCCCCAAGTTCAACCTCCTGTTGGGCAAGATAGACGACGGGACTGGGAAGGAGGCCCCAAAGAGGGAAGCACCTGCTTTTCCCTGCACCATGGCCACCCCAGGTGCTGGGCCCATGCCTTTCCCACCTCCAGGGAAGGAGGCCAGTACATCCACAGCAGAGCCACCTCCACCTCTCCCACCTCCTGCTCCACCCAGTGAGGACGAGGGCCCCGAAGAATCAGTTAAAGCTTCTCCAGACAGCGAGGCCTGCAGTCCCTCTGCAGGAGACCTAAGTGACTCATCTGCCTCCAGTCTGGCTGAACCGGAGTCCCCTGGGGCTGGAGGGACCAGTGGGGGCCCCGGAGGCGGGAACGGGGCTCCTGATGGGATGGGGCAGCGGCGCTATAGGACCCAGATGAGCAGCCTACAGTTGAAGATCATGAAAGCCTGCTATGAAGCCTACCGCACCCCCACCATGCAGGAGTGTGAGGTGCTGGGGGAGGAGATTGGGCTGCCCAAGAGAGTCATTCAGGTTTGGTTCCAGAATGCTCGGGCCAAAGAAAAGAAGGCCAAACTGCAGGGCATGGCCGCTGGGGGAAATGGGGGCAGCAGCGAGGGCCCCTCAGCAACCCAGCGCACTGACTGCCCCTACTGTGATGTCAAGTATGATTTCTATGTCTCCTGCCGAGGCCATCTCTTTTCCCGCCAGCACCTGGCCAAGCTCAAGGAGGCAGTCCGAGCCCAGCTGAAGAGCGAAAGCAAGTGCTATGACTTGGCCCCAGCACCTGAGGCAACCCCAGCTCCCAAGGCTTCACCTGCCACCACATCTGCCTCCATGCCCCTCGGGGCTGCCCCAGCCCTGCCTCGCCTGGCCCCTGTCCTCTTGTCTGGCCCAGCTCTGGCCCAGCCACCACTTGGCAGCTTAGCTCCTTTCAGTGCAGGTGAGTAGCCCTTGCTTTTCCTTCCTGACTCGCCCATGTCCAGTCTCTTCTTGTGGTCTAGGCCAGTGGTGACAAACCTACGGCATGCGTGCCGCAGTGGGCTGTTAAACACCGAAGGCTCTCAAAAGCTCGCCATCACTGCCTAGGCTCTTCGGGGAACGGTGGGAAGGGAGCGTGGGAGCTGGGTGATGGGAATGCGGGTGTGTGGCAGGAAGTGGTCCATAGCAGAAAGATCTGTGGAAGCAGGAAATGGCTAACCCTTCACTACCCTTTGATCTTGCTAGGCCCTGCGGCCTCCTCAGGCCTCCTCAGCCTTGCTACTTCGGTCCTGCCTGCTACCACAGTGGTCCAGACTGCTGGCCCAGGCCGCCCCTTACCTCAGAGACCTGTGCCCGACCAAACCAACACCTCCACAGCAAGCACCACTGACCCTGTCCCGGGCCCGCCCACTGAGCCCTCGGGGAACAAGGTCTCTGGTGAGCGAAAGCCACTTACGGCCCCTAGCAACTCCTCCGCTGATGCCCTCAAGAACCTCAAAGCATTGAAGGCTACTGTCCCAGCCCTACTGGGAGGCCAATTCCTGCCCTTCCCTTTGCCCCCTGCAGGGGGGACAGCACCGCCAGCTGTCTTTGGCCCCCAGTTACAGGGGGCCTACTTCCAGCAGCTCTATGGCATGAAGAAGGGGCTATTTCCCATGAACCCTGTGATACCTCAGACCCTCATTGGGCTGCTCCCCAACACCCTACTCCAGCCACCACCTCAGCCCCCTGAGCCCACAGCCACAGCACCTCCAAAGCCTCCTGAACTGCCAGCTCCTGGGGAGGGAGAAGCTGGCGAGGCTGATGAGCTGCTGACAGGCAGTGCTGGCATCTCCACCGTGGATGTGACTCACCGCTACCTGTGCCGCCACTGCAAGATGGCATTTGATGGGGAGGCCCCAGCCACTGCCCACCAGAGATCCTTCTGCTTCTTTGGGCGGGGCTCTGGGGGCTCCATGCCCCCCCCACTACGGGTGCCCATCTGCACCTACCACTGCCTGGCATGTGAGGTGCTGCTGAGTGGCCGTGAAGCCCTGGCCTCCCACCTACGCTCCTCGGCCCACAGGCGCAAGGCAGCCCCGCCCCCAGGGGGCCCACCCATCACCGTCACCAACACTGCCACTGCTGCCCCGGCTGCTGTGGCTTTTGCCAAAGAGGAAGCAAGATTACCTCACACGGACTCCAACCCAAAAACTACTACTACCTCTACACTTCTAGCTTTATAAACAGATAAACCAAGATGGGAGACAGGAGGGCTCCTACTTTAACCCCAAAGGGTGTTTGGTGGGAGCTCTGATCCCTGGCCCCAACCTTCGGCTCCGCCCACCTGCTGGGAATCTTTCAGTTCCCACCGTCAGTGGGCCTCACGCATCCCACCTCCAGCAGAGTCCTGCCTCCTCCCGTGCCCCACAAACACACGCTGACCTTTCTCCTCGGTCCTTGCGGATGTCACCCTTGCCTGATGTCTACACACACACACACACACACACACACACACACACACCTTGGCACCCTTATTACTCATATCTGTCTGCCTGCCATACACAAAATGTACCCTTTGTTCCATTTTCATTTTCCCCATTGACTCAGCACTCCCCCACTCCTATAAATGCACACACATACACACTGTCCCATGATATTCCACTGAGAAAACACAAAAAAAGAAGAAAAGAAAAAGAAGAAAGAGAAAATAAAACCCAAGACAAAGAAGGGGGACAAAATAAACTCTGCCACTCCCCCTTCTTCGCACCCCCTTGTCTAGAGCATCATACCGCTCAAACTTCCCAAAAACACAGTGGGCTCCCAGGTTTGGAGCCTGAGATGGGCAGGGAGCCCACAAAACTCTTAACCAAACTGGAGGTTGGCAGGAGGAGAAGTGCTCCCAGTTCACTCTCCCTAGACCCCTCCCTCCTAAGCCTCTCCTCACCTGACAGTGGGGCGCTGGGGCCTGGACTCTAGGAAAAGCTGCCCCAGGAACCCCTCTGCCAGCCCCACCCTGCTCCCTGGGAACTGCAGTAGTTTATTCTCAAAGGCTTTAAACACAGAGATCCTCTCAGCAGCCATGGGCCTGCCCCTTGTCCTTCCCCTGTTACGGGGCAGTTCGGCCTCTGGGGACCAGCGCTGCCCACCAACGGCAAATCCAAAGTTATTTTAAAAAGACTGAAACACACAACCAAAAAAACGAGAGCGAGAGAGAGTGCGTGCACATACGCACAAAAGAGAGATGGAGAGATCAGAGAAATGAACTAAAGAAAAACTTGGAAAATACAAAAAAACCTCTTCCATCAAACAAGTGGGTTTTTTCTTCCTGTTTGTGCCACCCCTCCCGTTTTAAAGGTGTCTTTAAACCACCTTGCCTCTGGAGAAGCATATGGCTTTAACTTTTTGCTGGTGTCTGGTGATCCTCACAGGACTGGAAGCACTGCGGCCTTCTCCTCACCATGCCAGCCTCACAGGCGAGGCTGGTAGTGTGGAGAAGAGCCGGGACTCCAGCGAGAGACAGGGCCATCTCCCCGACTTATTGCCAAGATAGGTAACATCCCCCCTTTCTCAGCTGTCAGAAAAGCCATGTCACCAGAAGCACCTTGGCAGTCCCAGGAAGAAAGGGGTGGGTAGATGGGGCAGTCTGTCTCGTGAAGCTGAGGTCTCTCCTGCCTACCACCGTTTCCACTCATTTACCTTTTCCACAAACCACTCTTCCCCTCTCCTGTGGCCCCATCACACTTCCGGATACTGAACCTTCCTTGCTTTTGCAGGGCCCCTTGTTCCCCATCTGCTCTTCTACCCCCTATCCTCTGCCCTTGTCCTGCTCGCTCCAGCCTACCCAGCTCAGCTCCTCCATTACACAGCGGGCATCTACAGTGGACCCAGGGGTCTGAGCTGACACCATGTGAGGCAATGGGTATGCAAGGAGAGGGCTGAAGCCCAGGGTGAGTCACTGACAGGGTGCTATCACTCGGGGACCCCACAGAAGAAAACTGAGGGGTAAAGCCGCCTCACCTCACTGCCTCCGTAACTTCCAGGGGTTAATTCTGACAACTCCAAAGCCCAGCTAAGGTGGAACAGGATAGAGAATTAGGTGTTTTATTTTAGCAAACAAAAGCCTGCAAAATTTCCTGTGTCACCCAGAAACCTTCTCCTACTCCTCTATCCCTGAGATCGCTCCACTCAGGCTGCTTCCACTATTACCCATTTAATACTTGTAAGTCAGCCCTGGGACTTAGAGCTCCCAGGCTGTCAGTGACTCTGCTCTGTAAACGCTAATCATGAAGCAGTGGCTGGTGTACAGAAAAGATGGGAGGGGATAAGGGAGAGAAAAAATTCAACTCAGTCCTTAGTCCCCATGTATTCTGTGAATATTGCTTCCTGTCCCATCTACTTCTAAAATTAAAAATTACTATCCCAGCCAACTGCAGGCAGGGTGGAGCGAGTTATTCTGACGATACCAAAAATGTCAGTTACCAATGTTGACAATGGGAGAGAAATGACCCGCTGTGGTCTGGCGTTTGCTGCTGTCCCTTTCTTGCTTCTCAACATTCCTCTTGTACCCCACCCTCCTTGTCCTCTTCCCTCTCCCTTTAAAGTTCTGTGTATAAAACTATTTTCTTAGCAGCATGCATATGAGGAAAGACGCTTTTTCACCTTGTGCTCTCTGGGAATGTGACTCATGTATAAAACTTGAGAAAACTGAGAAAAAGAAGAAACGTTTTAAAGAAACTTTGGCAAACACCTAGTCCTGGATGATCAAAAAGCATGGTGTCATGCATTGTAGGGGCTTATAACCTGGGTAGGGTGGCTTTACTTTGAACTATAAATGTTTTCCTCAAGAGTTAATGCAAAAAAAAAAAAAAAAAGTTAATGCAGTGAGAAGAAATTCTCCTCCTGCCCTCCAATACCTCACACCTAAACACCCCAGCCAAGGAGGCCCTGAGGCACTGCGTACATGCATAGCAGGAGTGAAGAGCTGTCACTGAACAACTCTATCCTGGAATTTCAGCGGGAAGAGAGCCTGGCTGATTGTGGACAGGCCAAGCAGCATGCTTCTCCATTCCATGTGCCCAAGGAGCATTCCTCCCAGGCCCTCTTTCATACTAGACATCCCTAGCAATAACCTTGCTTCAGAGAACAACATGTGGTGGTAGTTCTGGTAGACAGAAGGCTGAATCAGCCTAGCCCTGTGCAGAATCCTGCAGGTGACCACATCTAGTACTCCAGGATCTTGTGGAGTAACAGATTTGAACTCCAGCACCTAGCACATCAACACCTAATTTATAGCACCCTATCCCAGCCTATGTATAATGTAAGCCTGAACTGATGGCTCATAAGACGGGTCTTCCACAGCTTGGGGCAAAGAACTAAGATTTCTGAAATATGCAGTCCTAAAGAGGCACCCAAATGCACGTCCCTACTTATGCCAGGGTCATTACTGAGAGGCAGGAAGTATAATTGATCTTGCCTATCTTTGTTCTAAACCAGAACCTTTGTGAGGATAACTTAAGGTACCCAATTCTTTTTTTTTTTTTTTTTTTTTTTTTTCTCCGGTACTGGGAACCGAACTCACGACCTTGCGCTTGCCAGGCAGGCGCTTTTGCCGCTGAGCTAAATCCCCAGCCCTAAGGTACCCAATTCTTAATAGGAACAAAAATCAAACTGCTGAACATGAGAAACTTTAAAGCCTTAGTGGCCAAATGGGGCAACATCTGCAGCAGGGCTACAAAAAGAAACCTGTTTTTACCCTTTCCTTAAAGTGTACTTAAGAGAAGCATGCATAAGAACCAAGACAGCCAATTATTCCAGGCATAGTAGGACCCACCTGCTTATTCTATTTGTTCCCTGTCCACTTTCAGGGCTAATAGACCACATCATTTATTTCCCCAAATCTCCACATCCTGACCAATTTTAAGACATGTGGTCATCCGATCATTCATCCTTGTAAAGATATTCACACCTGAAATACAGAGAGAGCTCTGTGTACATAAGTACACTAGCAAAACAGGCAATTCATGCTAACAAAGAGAAGCAGACCCCAGCTGCAAGGTCTCCAGGGATACACACAAATGCCAGCAAGGCACCCACAGGACAAAGGCAGACATAAGGAGGAAAGAGACAGAGACAGAAAAACAGAGAAAGTGTCTCCAGATCATACTTTACTCCCACAAAGTAGAAACACTCACCAGTACATGCTAGTTTTTGTCACACCAAAGTAGATAAGGAATGGGGGAAAAAGATCTTAAACAACTCTGGGCTCCAAGGAGAGGTAGGAAAGACAAATAGGAGGAGGTTTTGGAAAGATTTTTGCTTTGTTCTTTGAGACAGGGTCTCACTATGCATCACAGGCAAGGCTTAAATTCACGTGTAGTCCAGGCTGGTGAACTCACAGAGATCTTACCTCAGCCTCCTGAGCACTGGGATTACAGGCGTGCACTACCACCCCTGGCTTAGAAAAATTCTTATATTACCCTGAATCAGGGCAAAGTGGGCCGGGACTGGTGTTGTAGGAAGAATCTGGTATAGTGGGGACAAGGGAGGGCATTTCTCTCAGACACTAGCCAAAAACTTGGACCTGTGAGAGTATCATTCCTAAAGGATACATTTAGAAAATACCAAGAGAGGGGCTGGGGATTTAGCTCAGTGGCACAGCACCTGCCCGGCAAGCGCAAGGTCATGAGTTCGATCCCTGGCACCAGAAAAAAAACAAAACAAAACAAAACAAAAAAAACAAAAAAAGAAAATACCAAGAGAGAACTGGGGATGTAGCTCAGTGGCGCAGCACCTGCCTGGCAAGTGCAAGGTCCTGAAATTCCCAGTACCAAAAAAAAAAAAAAAAAAAAAAAAAGAAAGAAAAAGAAAATACCAAGAGAACACGTGTACAAGAAAAGGAGCAGGAGCCAGGGACATAGCTCAGCGGCACAGCACCTGCCTGGCAAGCGTGAGGTCATGAGTTCAATTCCCGGTACCAGAAAAAAAGAAAAGAAAAGAAATAGACCAAGCATTAGGGCCTTTGGGATCATAGTATGGATACAGTATGAAAAGATCAGAGGAAACAAAAGTTGAGTGAGGCCATTGGTAGCAAATGTGGACCATGATCCATCAATTTTGGGGAAAGATAGAAAGTAATCCTGAGGAAAAGTCCCTTCTGGGAGACTCTGCACTTCATAAGAAGGCATTAGTGACATGCTGGATGACTGAACTGTGTAACAGTCCGGTGACTCTCCTGACACAGAGGATTCAGCCGGCCCTCTCACAAAGCATAGGATAACTGTCATGCCCTGTCAGGCTGAGTCTGGTGTTTCTTGCAGTTCCCTGGCCATGGAGTTGTACATCGCTAAGGTCTAGTGGAGAAGCAGGGTGAGTACAGCTGGACCAGAAGGAAGCCTAACCTGTCCCTGTAGCCTTATCCAGCCACGCGTATTCTTTCACAAACAAAGCTACGTACCGGAACAAGTTATGAGCAGGGACTCAGCACTGCTCCACCGCACAGTCCCTCCCTGATGTGAAAACTGCACCACATCTTCTCGGCTTGAAGAATGCCTACACTGCTCACTTCTGGACCCCCACCAAATGTTTGAACAGCAGCTCTGGAATTTGCTGCGTGTCAGCAGTAAGCTTGGCCCTGTGTTCTGCTGACCCTACCTCACCACCCAGGATCCAGCCGGCAGGAAGGCGTGTGACGAAGGCCTATCCTGTACTCTGCCACAAAATCCACACAAGTCTCACTGGACCACAGAAAACAATCTCCTGGCAATGCTCATAACCTAATGGTTTTTCATGATAAGGTTTGAGAAATACATAGGCAAAAAGCCATTGAGAATTTGGGGTGAAGGGAGGAATGATTTTCACAATGTTTCCAAAGGGATTTTTCTGTGATAATAACAGCCAATGAAAATCATTATGCTAACAAGTGACAAGTGTCTGACTGGACTTCACAATCCCTCCTACCCAACACACACACACTCTCTCTCTCTCCCTCTCTCTCTCCCCCTCCTTCTTTCCCTTTCTCTCTCTCTCTCTCTCTCTCTCTCTCTCTCTCCAAACATATATCCCAAACATGCCTGCACAAGGACATGAATACAGCTGAGGAAGAAGAAAGACGCTAAGGCAAGGGAAATCCAGACTAGATCAACTGTCCTACAAGGTGAATGCCATCTCAGGACAGTGTTTCTCGGGGTTTGTCCACAAGCATCATGCTCACCTGAGCTTGTTTAAAATGCTATTCCTGGACCATACCTCAGTTCATCTGAATCAGAAACTCCTGCTAAAGTGATCTATGCTCTCTGGAGGCTGGGAATCACCAGCTAAGAGAGCTCATTCCCATATACACCTCTAACTTGCCACAGCTTTCCAGCACCAGGACCAGCCCTGCCATACACACCTGGGGCTCCTGCACAGTGTCCCGGCTTGCCCTCAGGTCTGTCTTCACTACAGCGACGTCACTCACCCACCCTCCAACGTATTGGAAATCTAACAGTGTCTTTGGCTTACAGTGACTGCTCTTGAACGGGAGAGAAAATATAAACGTTGTTCACTCACCCCCTTGGCTGAGTACCTTCTGCTTTCTCCTCTGCTGTGGAAACCACCTTACTTCTTGTGATGCTGCCATCCACTCCAGACATGCTGAAATCAGAACTTTCCCAGCCCTGAGCAGCTCAGCCCCACATGGGCAATGAATGGCTTCACTTCCCTCTGGGCAGGCCTAGCCTCCTCCTTGACATCACCCAGAGCCAAATTTTCCACAGATCTTCCAGTCCACTGATCTACAGCTTCTTTTTATCCAGAAAGCAGGGAAAGCAAATCCAACTAGAAACTCTTCCAGATGGCAGCTCAAGTCTAGTCTTTGCTACCACAGATACAGGGATTCTTCTCTAAGGGGCCTTTCCCTCTACCAGAGCTCACTGCTCATCCTCATTCTCCCTTCCAGCATAGATTCAAAGATATGGAAACCTATCCAATTGCATTTGAGGTGTCACTGAGAAATTCCTAACCACAAAATCCTCTCGCATCCTTTCCGGATGGGCAAGTCCCAGGTGCCATTGCCTTCCTAACACTTGCCTACCTCTCTAGGCCTAGACTACCTCTCCACCTATCTAGGACCCTTATTGAATATGAACACTTTAACAAAGCAGAAAGAACAAGTTCATCTCAACCACAGCTCAGCCGGTCACAAGGCACAAGGTGATATATACCAGTTCCTACTACCCCAATATCCAACAGCAAGGTCTGAAGGTCTCTCCTTCATGCCCTATCCCTCCCAGTCTCTTCTGGTATCTGATATCTTTTTCTCTCTCTCTCCCAGTGCTGGGATTGACTCTAAGTGCTCTACCATTGCACTACATGCCCATTTTTGTGACGACATAGCTGGCGTATCTCTCTCTCCAGGCTCCCTTTTCACCCACCGGCTCTTGCAGCCCAGAGAGGTATACAGTCCCCTGGCCTGAAGCCTTGTGTGTGGCTAAAGCTGGGGTTTGTGTGCCTCTGTACTCTAGTCTCCCTTTGCACAGGCATTCTAACACAGTACAGTGCCATGTAAGTGCCCTGCTTGGAGGCAGTGAGGAAAAGAAGGAGGTGGGTGTCCAGTTAGGAGAATGGTAGAACTAGGGTGGTCTAAACAATGCTGGCTCAAGCCAGCTGTGAGAGGCATCCTCTCTGGCCACTTCCCAGCAGAGTTCCACCCAATGCCTGGCACTCTGTGTGGCCTCCTCTCTCTCCTTGCCACCGAGTGGCGTTGTGAGCACGTTGGGCAGCTTTGGGTTTGCCGCAGTGCCAGGACCCGAGACGCTGTTCACATGCCAGTGCAGCGCTGCCAAGTGTGGCGGCATCTAGTTGGTTGGGTGCCAAGCAGTAGGACCCAGGTGGTGATGAAGGGATGAAAGAGGGGTGAGGCAAAGGGAGGCACCAGGAAGAAAAATCAGACACCTCACTTGTTAGAGTCCAAACAGGACTGGCAGAAAGGTGCCCTGGCCACTCTGGAGCCCAGCTCACCAAGCAAGCCCTGCCCCCGCCACGCCTGCTACACTGGCACGTACAGACCCGACGGGAGGACGTGGCCATCTTCAGCGAGGAACTGGCTGGAGGCCAAGCAGGACTGGCAGCCGCTCTCCACCCTTCTTCCTTGGGGTCTTAGCAATGGCGTGCTTCTTCCTTTGTGTCCTCACGCTGCTTCCTGTCCGTCATTCCATTCCTCACCCTTAAGAAGAAACGGGAAGCAGGTCCTGGCAGGAAAAAAAGTCTGTTCTCTCCAATAAAGACCCCCATCTCACCTCCTACTTTCTCACTCCTGGCGCAACAACCCTTTCAAGCAGGTTGGCAGGAGGCACTATTACCCTTCCCTCTTCTACACAATGCCAGCGCTCATGCCAGTCTCATGGACAGTGCCACCCCCTTCATGCCCCAGTCCCCTTGCTGTCTCCTTCAGTGCTCTGACAAAGGGCCATGTTGCCAGCCCAAACAAGTTCCCCGGGCAATGGTGGCACATCCGTCCTTGCCGGCTCTGGGACTTTCTCGGCACTTCCCCGTCTACTCTCCACCACTTCACTTTCCCAGGCTGGAACAGA